TTATATCAGAAATTAAATACTTCTTTGTGCTTATTATTCCATTTTATTTTGCTGAAATTATTTGTTGAATTTATACATTTGAGAGAGTTGATCACTGCCAATTTGTAGAGGTGAATGTGGAAACGATCTTTTTTTACCAATGACAATGTGCCCTTTTTGTTTTTAACAGCTTTATTGAGATATAACTTGCGTTCCACAAAATTGTCCCTTGTTAAACATATAATTCAGTGAATTTTAGCAAATTTACAAATGTGTACTCAGCACCACAATTTAATTTTAGAACTTTTCCATCACCTTAAAAAGAAGCCTCATGCACATTTACAACCACTTCCCGTTCCTACACTCAGCCACAGACAACCACTAACTTACTCTATCTATACATATTTGCCTGTTTGGGACATTTTATATAAATGAAATCATACAATATGTGTTCTCTTGTGTCTGGTGTCTTTTACTGGGCATAACATTTTTTAGGTTTATCCATATTGTAGCATGTATCAATACTTAAAGTAATTTTTAGAGCCAAATGACGTTCTGTTGCATGGATATACCATATTTTGTTGATCCATTGACCAGATGATGGACATGAGAGCTGTTTCCACTCTTTGGCTATTGTGAATAATGCTTTGTATTATGAATATTTTTAGATTTGCGTTTCCCTTATGCCTAATGATGTGGGGCATCTCTTCTTCTGCTTATTGACCATTTTTATATCTTTTTTGAATAAGGTCTATTCAAATCCTTTGCCCATTTTTTGGCATTATTTGTCTTTTTTTTTGAGTTGTAAGAGTTATTTATATATTTTGAATACAAGTCCTTTATTGTTATATGATTTGAAAATATTTTCTCCCATTCTTTGAGTCGTATTTTCACTTTCTTCATGGTATCTTTTGGAGAGCAAGAAGTTTTAATTTTGGTTAAGTCCTATTTATTAATTTTTCTTTATCATTATGTTTTTGGTGTTATATATAAGAAATCATTGCCTAACCCAAGATAGTGAAGGTTTACTCTTAAGTTTTTCTATAAACAGTTTTAGTTCTTACATTTATGTTTGTTGTCAATTTTGAGTTAATTTTTGTGTGTGGTGTGAGTTAGGAGTCCAACTTCACTTTTTGCATGAAGATATCTAATTGTCCCAGCACCATTTGTTGGAAAGACTATTTATTTCCCTTGAACTTTCTGGAAGCTAACCATGAATGTAAAGGTTTATTTCTAGGATTTTAGTTCTAT